ATTTTAATCAATTTGAAAAAAAATCGATTAAACAACATCCTCAAACACGCATATCCTTTTCTTGACATCGTATAAATTCGGTGATTCTCGGTACGGTTCGGAAAGTTCACCTGCGGCTATATTTAGACTCGCCAAGTTACGTCGATCGTATTGTAATGAGCGATTTAGTGGGCAACTTCATTCTGTTAATTTTGTGTCACGGTGCGCGCGCATCGTAAAATTTCACTCTCATCAATTTTTCATAACGCGCCTAAAGAAGTATAACTTCAAAAAAATCTCTCTCTCTCTCTTTCTCCACTAATCACTTATTGCCAGATGGTCAAAAGCTATTGGCTACACAGTTAGTGCAGAAAAAAAATATCCACAGCCTTTGACCTTTGCTGACCAATCCCTTTAATTAAATCCGAAACCTTGAATTTTTAACAACCACTAAATTCTGTCGTTACACAATTTTGCCCGCATCCGTTAATAAAGGCAACCTTCGACCTCACCTTACATCAGCTGTATTAAGGTTAACACGGCTCGAGGTCACACGTTATGACCTTTGTACATGATTAAAAAATTATTTATTCTGTATATAGTCAAGGAGACCGGGAAATTTTGCATATTATTCGTTTTCTTTTTTTTAGGTTTTTTTTTATTGCCCTTGTAGGCAGACGAGAATACGACCCACGTGGTAGTGAGTGATTACGGTCGCCCGTGGACGTCAGCAATGCCAGGAGCGGAGTCAACTTACTACCGTTAAGTACTCACCACAAACTACTATTAAAGTTCCATATTATGCTTCTCATACAATTTACTTTTATCGACTATTAAGTTCGTCTCACCTTTGGTAGAGTAAAGGGCGTCTGCTAACGTGACGTGGGATACCTGCCGCAGAATACATACGCGTTCCAGTTTCAAGGATGGGACTTTCTGTTATATAATAAAATCGATACTTAAACCACGTGTATGTAGGTAGGTGACATCCAGGTCGGCTGTATTCAGCTAAAATGAACTCTGATCTGGTAGCACTCAGTTATAAAATAAAAATGTACATATCAAATATGCTTGAATAAACATGAAAAGAATTCCTCAAAGTATCCAAATTGTATTAAATGCCCAGGGAAATAAGAACTCCATTCGTAAATCAAAAGATTCCAAGCGATCAGTTTACTTTAAAAAATATTTTTTTTATTGCTTGNGGGCTGTATTCAGCTAAAATGAACTCTGATCTGGTAGCACTCAGTTATAAAATAAAAATGTACATATCAAATATGCTTGAATAAACATGAAAAGAATTCCTCAAAGTATCCAAATTGTATTAAATGCCCAGGGAAATAAGAACTCCATTCGTAAATCAAAAGATTCCAAGCGATCAGTTTACTTTAAAAAATATTTTTTTTATTGCTTGGATGGGTGGACGAGCTCACAGCCCACCTGGTGTTAAGTGGTTACTGGAGCCCATAGACATCTACGACGTAAGCGCGCCACCCACCTTGAGATATAAGTTCTGAGGTCTCAAGTATAGTTACAACGGTTGCCCCACCCTTCAAACTGAAACGCATTACTGCTTCACGGCAGAAATAGGTGGAGTGGTTTTACCTACCCGCGCGGACTCACAAGAGGTTCTGCCACCAGTAAAATATATAATGAAGTATTATTTTCACTAATATGAGCACAGAAACTGCTGTAACAAACACACACGGTTTGTACCACTAAATTCTAAAGACTAAATTATTTGTGTGATTAATTTTATTTCTCATATTCATTTAATACGTGCCTGTTCATTGCTCTAACACTTCCATTTTCCATTATTTCTAGGCTGTTGTATGTTTTAAAAAAAAAGTCATTTTTGGATTTTTTGTTTTACTTGTGCGACTTTGCTTTTTATCTTCCCTGATTTTAAGCCAACGGAACTTTTCCTTTAAGCTTTCACTAATAAGTTCGAGAGTCACAAAATGTCGCCGTATCCTTCGATTGCATCGATTTTGATGTTTGAAATACTGTACTTTCTTTGAAACAAATTTTAGTTTCAGTCATACAGTAGTCTCAAGTGTAGAACAGATACTTTATAGATACGGTAATATAGTTAATGCTACAAACTGCTTTTTTTTTAAAACGAAATCCCAAGATGCAAGAAAGTCCTTATTCAAATTAGTCACCACTTTCACTTACTCGTGTCAAATTTGGTATATCAATAATGTAATGTCTATGGACTTGGATAATCATTTAACACTTTGAAAGAAAATGGTAAAAAAGGAGATGTATGGAAATGGTAGAGCAACATAGAGGGGGAAGAGGTCGATCGAAGAAGACATGGATGGAGTGTGTGAATGACGATATGAGAGAGAGAGAGGAGTGAGTGTTGAGATACGGTTGATAGAAGAGAATGGAAGAGAAAAATTAGCTGTGCCGACCCCACCTAGTGGGATAAGGTGGAGAAAAAGAAGAAAGAAAATGGTACTTTATGTCAAAAAATCTCTAGGATCTCTCAAATTATTGTATTAAATTAGCATTTATATTTAATGTTGGCAACCCTATCATATAAAATGGTAAACTAATTCAAGATGGCTGTCTGCGTAAACAAAAGCAATGAAAACGTTGTGAAATAAAATAAAGGTAATTAAAAGTTTATATCTTTTCATTTTGAAATAAACAAAACAATCCCCACTCAACAAACACTGAAGCTCTATACATGTAATATACAAACCAATTATTATATTAACGGTTATTTAACCTCTGCCACCACTGAATACGAACAGTTTAATACAATCAATGACGCTTTCAATATTACGTGTTAAAACAATATCCGTTATATAATATGTTATGTAAGCATCTTTGTTACGGGAGCACATGAGTTAAGATTTATTGTTTAAAGAGATTACCTCAGCCTACGCGCCCTTTGAGGATTGGTGTTAACGATAAACTGTTAGCGTTTTTTAGAAAGATACGTAAATTTTAGGTTGTTCAATGGAAATATTAAAGTGTGAAAAGTTGAGAATCGTACAATTATAATGAAAGGTTGGAGTTGTTGTCAAAAATTATGAAAACTTGTGATAGTAGTAATTATACTCATCATCAAAGAGACTACAATTATCACTGCTAGACGCTTCTCTCAATAAGTTGCATTAAAATCGGTCTGAGTTTCCCTCGGAAATCAGGAATGAGGAGGGGGGGGAAGGATCCTCCCGAAAAATTCCTCAGTTTAAATACCCATATGGAAACAGATATCAATAATAGACAAAACTGTCTAACAATAACCGAGTAGACTTTAATAATAATAATTAAAAGTTAAATAGTACTAATAAAATCGCTCAAGCTCAAAACGTGTACCATTGTTGACATCGGATAGATTCGACATTTTCCCTCGACACAAAATTGCCTTATTAAGACGTAAACATATACTAATAAAACATACACGTTTATAAGCTTTCGACATGAGACATTATTACCCCATTTATTGGAAACGTGACCCCATTTTATTTACAAGTAAAACCTTATTTTAATATTTATTGGTAATTTGCAGAGCATTCAAACTCAAGATGCGACTCTTTTATAGGTTATTTAAATTATGGTTACAGTGATGTTTTTTTCCTAGTCAAAAGGGAAAATCAAATCTTTATCCCTAGCATTGTCACGACCTCCTTGATACCATTGAGTGACTGCCTATTGTGTGATATCGTTTAAGTTTTTGTGAATAGCTACGATTATTTACCTAAGAAGATTAATTGAAACAATTTCTATTTAGTATAATAATAAATATAGTTATTACTATCCATTGGACGCGACATTATTCCAAGGAAAACCGTGGAAAATGAGACTTACAAAAACGGCAAAGTGAAAGAATACAATGATTACATTCTTAATACATCTCCCATTACAGATGTTATTATTACGTTTATTTCTATATATTTTATGTAATATAGTTTCCGCACATTAAAAACATAGAAATTAAGTATTGTTTCGTCGGAAAAACGCGCAAAAAACTTTTCGAATTTACAATAACTAGAGATCCCACAGTAATCGAAATTCGACTATAATTAATTAGAATTGTAAGTTTGTACACTATTATGATTGTATTTTATACTTCTATATTCACAAATTTTGCCAAAGCTACACTATAAAAAAATATTAATAAAGACAAACAATATTTAATCTATTCTCAATTTGACCACATACGTCACGAACAAAAGTTTGACAATAATAGTATGCATGCGTGTGTGCGTCAAATACATGGTATGTAGTGTGTGTAGTGTTTTCTTTATTGATTTAAGGTATCTTTTATGCATTATTTAAAAAATATATTAGCATTGTGCACTTCTTCTCTATATTCTCTATAACTATGGAAAATTTCATACTCCTCTGTCCGCGCAATTTTCGTAAAAAGGGATACAAAGTTTTTGCTTCACGTATTAATATATAGATCCTCTGCGCCATCTCGTATGTACTAAAATTTCTGGACTTTTTGGCGGGAACGCGAGGAGTAAAGTTGTGTGATTTGTTTTATTTTGTCTATTTAGTGTTTCTTCAGGCTTAAATGTGTTATAACGGTGGTTTATTAACTGTTTAATATCTGTGAACGTGCACAAATGTTGGAAAATGAAACAAAGCTAGTTTACTGAGATTATATTTCATCCCATACCATCTCATTTCATTTAACTCCATATTATCATTTTTCATAAAAATAAGAATATAAATTAAAATAAGACATGACTTAAAGGTCTTAGTTACCAGGTCATAAAATCCCTAATCGATACTAATACATAAATCTACAGTGGTTTTTACGGATGTTCCGTTATAACTACTGAACCATGCATTCGATTGACTTGAAACTTGGTAACCATGTGGAATGTACATGTACTTAATGGATAGGCTAATATTTATATGAGTGTTGGACTCCCTACCCAGTTGCGGGGGCGTTCATGATGAGAATCTTTGTGGGGGTGAGAAATAATAATGTTAATTTTAAATTTTCTACGTAAACTTGATTTCAGAAATAAATTTAAAAACGTACGTACCAGCTATATCGAAGCATCCAAGTATTAATGTCCACAGGGATATGGACCGTGCCGCTCCGACGCGCACATACGCCATTTTACATTTTCCACCGGCCGCACCTCGAGTCGAGCTATGTGAACTCACATCTTTGTTTATTTTCACTTCGATTCAGCTCACTATCCATCACGCTGTAATGAAAGGTTTCATTTTAGTTACAGTATTCTCTATTTAGTTTAATTGTAGCGAAATTGTGAAATTCATGTAATATATATATTTATTTATTTATTTGGGAAACAAACAGTACAATAGAAACATATAATATTTTTAAAAAATAGCTTGAACAACAACCAAATATGTTTCCACAATCAAAATCACATAATATATTATGTAGAAAGTGAACAAAGAGGAGAAATTTAGAAATTTAAGCTACAAAAAACAAAAGCAGCACAATACCCACATTTTATTATGTACATCAACTTAAACTATAAGACTATAATAATCATCGGACTAAATCACCTTATATATATATTAAAATAGCTTTTCTATATGCTACAAGTAACAAGCAAAAGATGTCAGCATTAGAGAACTTAGCTTCATACAACCTATTTACATGAAATGGATCTCGAAATTTCCCACGTTACGATTAATTTTAAAGTTTTAATTTTTTGTATTTATTTATTAGAGTGAAACTTTTGTTACATCGTCTCAAACTTTTTCGTCTGTGTGTTGCATGTTGCGTGACGGTCGGCTGAGGAGTAGGGATAAAGTGAAAGGCGCTCGTCAGAGCAGCCAAGGCCAATATGGCGGCGCCTATAGTTTGCAGCAGCTGACCGTGTAGTTTATAGACTATTACTCATTTGTGCCATTGCTCCACGCTATTTTGTTTGTTTTTGCCAGTGTTTAATGTAAATGTTGTATGTCAGAGTTAAATGTCTATAACGTGAAAAAAAGTTTCACTTTTACCGTGGTTTCATAAAACCACACTATCCTTTTGATACTTTATTTCAGTTTTTTTTTAAACCATTACATTTTGTTTTTTTTTGGTTTTTTTTTATTGCCCTTGTAGGCAGACGAGCATACGGCCCACCTGATGGTGAGTGGTTACCGTCGCCCATGGACTTCAGCAATGCCAGGGGCCAGAGCCAAGCCGCTGCCTACAAAGTAAGAATTACTTATAATCTTTGTTAGTAACTAATGTTAGAGTACAGAGTAGAGTTAGTAAGAGTTTAATGGGTAATTTTAAATTCGAATATTACGCTAACGACTGTCTTGTAATGCTATATCTGGCATTTACGTTTTTCTGCGCACTGACGAAACGGACTATGTGTTAATTTAACGAAATTTCTTTTGTGATGTTTATCAATTTATAAGTATTCTATAAAAAAATTGGCCTGACGGTCCGCGTGACTTTTGTATGTTCGAGGTTGGAAATTTGCTGAAAATGAGTTTTTTCGCTCTTATTGGTAGTTAAATAAGAATGATCGTATGACGACAAATACTTATTCTTCTTCTTCTTCCTATTCGTACACTCTTGACAGAGTGGTCGTGGTCATGCATCAGTCGGATCCTGCAATACCGATGCTCTCGCGATGCGACGCCATGTGGCACGATGTTTCGCAGGGTGAGAGTAATCATTTATGTTGGAGTGAGTCACAGATTTTATGAGGTCGGTCCATCGTGTTGGAGATCGTCCGCAAGATCTTTTGCCCTCGACTTTCCTTTGCATCACCAACCGCTCAATGGAGTCCTCATTACGAGTGATGTGTCCGATGTGATTTTATGTCGCAGTTTGGTGTTACATGAACGACATCAGACGAAAAATTAACTATCATATAAGTCATTCGTGAAATAGGTTTGTCACGTCATTTCTCAGAAAAAAAAATCTATTTCTAACATTGGTATTACAGCATCGTTGCTTATTTTCGGGACGGGTAGGTATAATGAATATGAAAACTAGAAGGCCTCAGTTTCTTCAAGAGCATTTATCCAAAACTAAGACAATGGTGTTAGAAAAACAATAGCATTAAGATCATGATTTTTAACCGTAATTTAAACTTCAGGTGACGCACAATGTCAATAGCCTCTATAGTCACGTATGTACATAAAATATATAAGTACTACGATTCATATTATAGCAGGCTCACAAAATAAATTCACGCCTGCGAAAGCGACAAAATGTAACAGTATTAAAATAGCTTACCAAAATGATAATAATTTTCGAAATTTAATTAGGGCGATTAAATTTTTAGGCGAATTGCTTTCATACTTTACTGGTGGTAGGACCTCTTGTGAGTCCGCGCGGGTGGGTACCACCACCCTGCCTATTTCTGCCGTGAAGCAGTAATGCGTTTCGGTTTGAAGGGTGGGGCAGCCGTTGTAACTATACTTGAGACCTTAGAACTTGTATCTCAAGGTGGGTGGCGCATTTACGTTGTGAATGTCTATGGGCTCCAGTAACCACTTAACACCAGGTGGGCTGTGAGCTCGTCCACTCATCTAAGCAATAATAATAAAAAAACCTGCAATAGCTACAGCTTCACAAACATAAAGTACTGTTTTTAACTTTTTTAAATTAAGCACGTTAAATTTATAACCGTATCTTACATATTGTAGATGTAAGCTATCATTATGAAGATACTGTTTTTTTTTAATCTAAATCCAAATATTATAATTCACAGCTCGATATTAGAAAGAAGAGAAAATAGCACAATACGAATATATATTATGATATTATACAAGCTTTTGTATCAACAATTCCTTTCTTGAATTTCAAATCTCGAAATTCAAACAAACTTCATTAAAAACATCCCATAACAAGAACACATACGCTCAGCTCCATAGCCCATTAATCTTCATATTTCCTTAAGAGAGCCGGACGATAACTATTCGTCTTTCTAAATTGCCACCCTGTACCTATATCTTGGTACATCGAGATATCTGTTACCGGATTAGTAAGCCACGTAAATTGTGGTTGTAAATATCTATTTGTCTCGTGTTCTACTTTGTGACGTCTTTAATGTGTTTGGCAAATTACTTTGTCCTGTGACGCTGTTTTTAACAGAACTTTTCAGTGGACATTGCGGTAGATGAGTTCATGGATAAGGATAATGGCTTTGCCCATTTTAATTGAACGCATATCTTGAAATAGATTGGATACTAGACTTTTTTATTATTATTGCGTAGACAAGTGAACGAGCTCACGGCTCACCTGGTGTTAAATGACTGCCTGCGCCCATGGACATCACAAAATGAATGCCGCCACCCACCTTAAGGCTTGAAGTCTACACTAGCCATCATATCCTTTAGAACATGACTTCTTCAAAATCATATAGGCAAGCAAAGAGGCAGAATAGCGTTCTAGGTTATAAAATATTAAAAAGCATTTCAATTTCTAACAAATTCTTAAAAATCAACGAGTCTTAACATATTCGAATCATTCTACCTCCCAAATACATAAGTCGCCTTTTAACAACAGATAGATGTATTAAGGCCCGACACGTTGGACTGACCAGATCCGCACTACCCTCGACACCACAGTTCACGGTGCTCTACACTCGGCGGCAGATAGAGGCAAATGGCGTGGAATGGTCCGTAATAAACTCCTGTTGCGAGGAGGTGGTCACGACCCTCAGTATTGAGGAAACCAAGCAAGAAGAAGATGTATTAAGACGAATCACTAGTTCAGTATATTTTTGACGATAGTCCGGTAGACGATCAGGCAGGTTCTTGTGCTAGTGCTAGATGGATCCCGAAGTCAAATGTGAATGTCTTAGCTATACTGGCAACAACTATTCGAAATGGAAAATGGCTTACTGTTTCATCATCATTAACCTGCCATTCTCCCAATCACCTGGAATCGGCGTAACATGCTTTCCCCTTCCATACTCCTCTATCATATACCATTTCTTCTTTCACACCCCTCTTACACATAGCGTCTTTCACGCAATCCATCCATTTTGGCTTACTGTTTCAATGGCTTACTGTTTCAACNGCAACAACTATTCGAAATGGAAAATGGCTTACTGTTTCATCATCATTAACCTGCCATTCTCCCAATCACCTGGAATCGGCGTAACATGCTTTCCCCTTCCATACTCCTCTATCATATACCATTTCTTCTTTCACACCCCTCTTACACATAGCGTCTTTCACGCAATCCATCCATTTTGGCTTACTGTTTCAATGGCTTACTGTTTCAACAGTTTATTTATTTATTTTTATTTATTAATGTACACACAAAAAAGAAGCCATAGTAATGAGTAATAGGAAAATTATTTACAAAGGCGCTGCTTATTTCTTTAAGAAATCTCTTCCAGCAGACCTGCGAGAGGATTATGAGCATAATAATTAAAGGTGATGATTGTGTGTAGAACAGCTAAAATAACAAATACAATATCAGAATTACAGTAATTCACATACACATAGCAAATATTATTAAACTTGAATACCAAATATTATAAGTAACACAGTATATACGAAGAATATAGAACAATGATCGTTCGGTTGATGAGAGATAGAATTGTGTGACCTTGTATTCAAAAACAGAAACAGACTTGCAAACTTGGATGTCAGCCGGCAACGAATTCCACAGTCTAACTTACTGAGACACCACAGACAGGTTTACTGTTTGGTTCACCCAAAAACCACGCCAGTAATAACACCGATCAAAATTTATATTATCTAAGTATTTAAAAACCATCAACCAAACTTTAGAACGCCATTGAAGTCCGAACTAGATTCCTGGAACAATTCCCGTTCCTTCCTTCATATTCAAAATGCGATTAAACATCATCTACCTCGAATTACCTTTATAGCAGCTATTTAAATTCAGCATTATAGTCATAACAAGAAGCGCTTCCTATAATGGCCCCCCGTACTTCATTTCCCCACTCCATTCTTACCGAAGAAATCATAACACACCTCGGACCGCTTCCCATTATCTTACTGAGTACACCCCCTTGTATAATGTAGGTATAGTTGATAATGATTGGTGCAATTTATAAGCGATGATTGTTTGCTAATTTTTTTTCTTTGTAGGTAGTTAATTAAACCATTGGTCGTTTATGGAAGCATATACATAAAAATGTCTTTTATTTTTATTTTTTACCTGGTGCTAAGTGGTTACCGGAGCTTGTAGACATCTACAACGTAAACGCCGCCGCCTACCTTGGGATATGAGTTCTAAGAT